CCCGTGATTTCCTTCTTCACTTTATACGAAATTTCTGTAGTATATATATTTTTATTAATATCAATCGGCAAGTTCAAGTTTTACTTTGGAATTCTGTTAGGTGATTTCTTACATTGGTTCATTATTGATTTGCTACTTGTTTTCTTTCACTGATTTGCTACTTGTTTGTTGTTCATATATGATTATGAAATCTGATGTGTCCAGTGATCTATAAAAAAGGGAATGTGTTTGGAGGCAAGCTGTTTGATCAAATGCCTGATAGGGATAGTACTTTCTTAATATGCATGTTTTCACTTATCAGTTGTAATATACATGTTTTAATGTTTAACTTTTGAATTTTGATGTTGGTAACTTGGGAACGAACAATAGATGCATGTTTTCTATTAGGTGTTTTTGAATGCTGTTCTTAAGATGATTATATCTTTCTTTGAATGTAATTTAGACACTAAAAAGTGCTTATCAAGTTATAGCTTTTTGACATCGGATAGCTAATCCAAATAGTTTTTAAAAAAAGTAGTTACCATATTAAATGAGCTTTGCCTAGCCAAATACCCTGTTAGTAACAGTGCCTGTTCCATGTTTTAAACATTTAAATTATTATTCCAACAATGACATAAAGATTTTTCAGTTACAAGGATGGCGGGAATAGCTTTGCTTATGGATCTAGTGAGGAAAAATCCAAACGTGAATGGTCAAACCCTACATTCTACCAGTTTATACTCAGCCACGCTTGCTGCCTCCTCCGCCGCCGCTTATGCCGCCACCACCACCCCCTTTGCATCTAGGGCTATATTCGGGTACGCGACCTAATCTAGTTCTGTTTTTCCTTCTGGTAATTTGATCTTAATAAGTAGTATATATATATGGAATTTTCAAGAAATTCACTAGTAATTCCAGTGATTCAGTTAGTTTGTTAATAATGATTGTTGATGTGAGTGAAACAGGTTTGGTGGAAGAAGAGTTGCTTATTGTGATGCTGGTGCTACTTCTCCTCTTCTGACTGAAGATTACCTTACCAGTTTAAGAACAGCATCTGAAACCATCTTTCGACACGATACTTTGAACTACAGAACCAAAGAGTATTACATCGAGCTAAAACCATTGTGGTCTGCTTTTCAGGCGAGATCACTCGCGCTAACATCATTGAGGTCTTTCTTACTTTTTTATTTGCCACTTTTGGCGCCTAATGTTGAAGATGATGATGATTTCTTACCGGGTTCTTCGGACGAGCATCATGTGGACTTGGTTGTACCCTTCAAGAAATCAGTAAAGCAGATCCTTCGTGAAGTAAGCATGAAATTGATGATTTTCACTATTTTTATATTTAGAAACAATAAGTTGATATTTTCAATTTTCATCATCACAGACTAGTGTTGTTACTACTAGACGGGTTCTGGAACGACTTGCTGTTCACCATTTCTCACAGCGTGCAGCATGGAAGCTTCTTAAAGGTACAATCAATCAAATCAATGTCCCCATAACTCTTCTCTTTTCATCCAATTCACTCGCTGATTCTTTTTCTTTCCATGCTTAGATGTTCCCAAGTCTGCTGTGCGCAAAGCTAACAGGGGGATGCCATTTTATACTTACTTTTTTTGTGTCGGTAGGACCACATTTAGAGGTCAGTTTTTAACTTCAATTTTTTTTTGGCTATACAAATATACTATATAATATTATTATAATTGTATATATTGCTATAGATATGGTCTGTGCACGTTTTCATAAAATAAAAAAAAAATTCAGCATGTAGTTTTTAACTTCAGCTCTATGTTGATTCTATTAAATCTTCTTGTGCTTTGTAACCTGCAGATTGCTTCTGTAGAAAAGCTTAATTCAACTCAAAAATCAATAGTATCAGATGAAATTACTATTCTATCCATCATAGATATCATTTTGATGCAAACTGCCATTATGCTTATATGCTTTGCTATGACACCCAAAAAACACACCAAGTTATCTTTAAGCAAGAGATATTTAGCAGTTTTTTAGTGCTATGAACTATTGATAGGATGGTTAGTGTGCAACAAAACTATAACATGATGGTCAGAAAACTTGGTTTCTGAAGTTTCAGGAATTTATGTGCACCATTGGCTTTGTTTTTCAGTTTTTGATGGTTGATTTTTTTTGGTAGCTAGTCAATAACTAAACACATTGATTGGTGTGAGCAGGCCATTTTCTAGGAGTTGCAGCATCATGGGTTGTTCAAGTTGGAATAGAAAGTTACCGGTTTGTGCGTGACATTTCAAAATCTGATGATGATGGTGTTGACCGGGTAGAACAAGTGAAAGGTCTTGGGAAGAAGGTGTATGGTGTTACAGTTCGATGTGGTGCCTCGCTACTTTTTGCATCCATAGGAGCTGGGATCGGTGCCACCCTTTTCCGCCCATCAACCGGTCAATCAGTTGGTAAGCACCAACCTTCATTACAACATTGTATTCTCAAAAATCTACCCATAAAAAACCACTATAACTTTTTAATTGCAACCTACTTTACTGTTTCCACCGATATACCCAATGTACTTTATTTTTTGCCCATATAACAACATGCTTTCATTTGTTTTTTTTTTACTTTATCTTTATGTTTCAACCCATAATAACAACATAAATACATTTCGCTACCACTACGGGTAAAATGTACTTTCTATGCTAGTGCTACATATTTTTGTTAAGTAGGTTGCTATTATCGGTAATGAATTGTACGTGCCTGCTAATATGTGTAAAGAATTCACTTATGGGTACACATTGCTACTATCAATAAAAACTGTAAGCATGATGCTCTATCATTCATCGCTAAAGAAACGTAATTAAATTGCCTATTATGGGTTCATCATTGTCTAAATTGATAAAATGAGTAAAGTACATTGCTATCTTCCGCAATTTAATGTGCTTATAAGAAAAAAGTATAATGTTATAGTTGGAGTGGATAGATTTTATAAAGTAGAACGTCTTTACAGTTGGGTAGGTTGTTTCAAATAGTGTCTTGCTAAGGAAAAAAAAGTATGTTATAACATGACAAAAGGAAACAAAAGTAAGATGCTGCCTATAATAAATATAGAATTAATGAAGTACATTGCTAATTCTTGCATTCAATTGTCATGCTTAATTTAGAAAAAAAAAAATCTTGTTTTTGGAGTTGGGGTTGTTGAGTGATATTGCTGTGTTGTTTGTTTTACAGGGTGTTTGATCGGGGACTTGGCAGGGCCTATTATTGTATCGATTTGTTTAGGCAACGGTTCTCCTTTGGAAGTTTAGATGCTATTTGTTTTTTTGTCAACAGTTGATTGAAGCTCGACTCTTGAGAGAGGTTGAACCTGAATGAATGAATCTTAAAACAAAGGTTTTACTTGTAAAACAATATTGGGAGATGTATCAGTATCTTTGTGAGCATTGCTATGTGCAGCCAACCATTGTAACGAATAATATATATTTTATTTTATTTTTCTTTTCGAGAAGGGATGCGACCTTCAAAATAAGATATACTCTTTGAATTTCTTACAAATTGATAAAATTTGATTTACTATTATTGTTTCGCTGCTTCACTTTTTTTGGCAATGGTCAAAAACAGTGTACGTTCTTTTTTTTTTTTTTTTTTTTTAAACTCATTTCCTATAATAATTAACGTGGGCATTTATAAGATGCTATTTTGGATAAAGTATTTAGCTTTGTCTCATGGTTATTGTGTTGTATTCTTGTATGCATTGGCATTTTAAACATTTTAAATGTTTAAGCTTATGACTTTTTCTACAAATTGTTTTACTTAAATGATGTTAGCCATGAATTTCATTTCACATTTTTTTAAATTCTTATTAAATATTATTATTTAAAATAGCTCTTACGACGTTCAAAATGAATATGGAGTGACAATAACAACACATGATTTTGAACATGGAGTGACAATGACAATACATGACACCACATCTAGACCTAGTGTCGTTGGTGAGGATCAAGGAGTTTTGATTTTTATCCCACCGACTCAATAAAAAATATTAAACTTTAGTTATGTATGTGTAGGTGTATATTACATTATTAATATTTGCCTCAAATAGCTTGGTCCCCTTAAGATTTTTGAAGAGATCCTCTCGGTCACATTTGACATTCACTGAGATTGATCCTCCAAGGCCAGGATCCTGAAAAAGAAAATGGAACCACTCCCATCCCAACCATACATACAACCATGCTGTGATCAAATGAACAACTAATACGTTCACCTTACGTCCAACTGTCCAAGGAGGGCATCAGGTCCATGTGATTGCCCTCCCTATCCATACAATATTTACAAAGGGGGGCAACACATATAGATCAACCACTTCATTCATAAACAAAAATAACATCAATATTAAATTAATTATAGTTAAACAAACAATCAACAACCCATTGTATCTAAATATTAACATGTTGGTTTTATGAAGAGGTGGATGGATGCCCACACTGATTGCCCCACGATCTTGAAATGTAAAGGTAAAGATAAATTTTAAGAAAGCTAGTTGGAAGTTTTGTTGAAGCAATTATTGGTATGCATATTTCGGTATATGTTACAAAGTTGCCGTTGCTCATGGATGTAACATTTCTTTTATGTAGGAAAACGTTTTCCAAAATTAATAGCATCAAGTCAAGTCAGAACAGGTAGCAAAGCTTTTGAGAACTATTGTAATGTAAGTAACATTCACCAAACAGTTATACCATTTTTACACCAAAATAGTATTACTTTTAGTGCAAGTGTAATTCATCTCCAACATATTAGAGCCTCCATAATAGTATTAGTAGAGCTTGTTTTCTTAAACTTTTTCAATACATATAAGCACCAACTCATCAATTTAAAAAGCTCCAAGAAAACTACTCTATATGATATCAGCTTATTTATGGAGCCACCAATTCGTATGAGAGTTTTTTCATCAACTTATGTATGGGAACCACCAATTGTTTAATTGTCTTTTGTATAAGGTGAATATTAACACTTGATTGTACCATAATTTGTTAAAAATAAATGAGGTTAATCAAGATGAAAAAAATCAATTATAATAAACAATAATAAGAAACTATAAATAAAAAAAACAAAGTCTTCACCATTAAATTGATTAAGCTGTTGATAACTTAAGTATTTGTTGAAGCAGCAACTCTATGGTTTTGATTTTTTCCCTTTGGTTTCTTTAGTAGGAGGAGGAGCTTGGAAAGGGATGAACGTCTTCCCACCCATGAATGGCTGTAGCACTTGAGGCACTTCAACACCATCTTCCCTCTGGTAATTCTCAAGAATGCAACACATAGTCCTCTCCGTTGCTGTGAGTGTGGAATTCAATAAATGGCAGTATTGTTTTGTTTGTTCATTGCTCTGCACATCCCAGAATCACCACTTAATAATGAAATAAACAAATACGATTGAAAAAATAAACCCAAACCTTTTTCTGCCCAAATCTGATCTCCAACTTTCTCGACTGGTAATCAGTGCAATTTGAACAAGACACAAGTTCTCTGTAAGTGCTGGATGCAGGAAACCATGCTTCCAAGTCATACTTCTTTGCTGCAGCATCATTTAGTGCACCAGAGAGACTATATGATACGGCAATTTCAACTGCAGTTCAAAATTAAAATATATCATATCATATATTTAAAGGTGAAGAAAATAATAATTAGTAACTACCATTTGGTAAAACTCCTCGGAGTTTTTGATCATCTCCTCGTGCATGTCCCATGAGTCATTGCCATTAGGACTGGTGATACAAAACTGTTCAACTTTCTCAAACTGATGAACACGGAAGATTCCAAGAGTGTCACGGCCATGTGACCCAGCTTCTTTCCGGAAGCAGGACGAATATCCAGCATATCTGATCATTTTTCCAACCAAAAACAGGATATGTTTTTCTTTACTTAAAAAAATTAAGACAGTAAATTTTTTCTGCAAATTAAAGGGTATTATTATTACCTTAGTGGTAGCTGTGTTGGATGAATCCAGTCATCTATGTGATAAGCACAAAGTGGTTGTTCAGCAGTAGCAATCAGATACTTGTCATCTCCCTCACCTGTTACCTATCAAAGAAATTCATGACTTTTTAATCTTGAATATTTTCCACAAGTATTTAGTTATTTACCTTGTAAAGTTCTTCATCGAATTGGGCTAATTGAGCACACTTTCCCATTATATCTTTCCTCATAAAGAATGGAGTTTGCAATGATGTGAAGCCCCTTTTCTCGAGAAAATCAAGACCAAAGTTTATAAGAGCTTGATTTAGACGCACACCATCTCCTTTCAAATAAAATCTTCTACCACCAGCTACATTAGCACCTGAATATAACAAAAAAAGATTTCAATTTGCTTAGAAGACATGTTAAAAGAACCCAACTCAGGTGAATCAAATAAACTGTAATATAAAACACCTCTTTTCAGATCTGCAATTCCAAGAAGTTCCACAAGCTCGACATGATTTTTTAGTTTTGGCTCCGTTCTTTTCTCCCCCCAAGTGCGGACAACAGCATTATTTGCCTACCATGTACAAAATGCATAATGGAAAAGAGATACACACATATTTATTATTTAAAGAAACAAGAAAGGAAAAAATGTCCACCTCATCATTGCTAACAGGAACAGAATCATGCACAAGATTCCCAACCACCTCCAATTTTGAATATAATGCTGCACGGGCTTCCTGAACCTCTGCATCTTTTTTTGCAGTTGAGTCCTTGTTTTCCTCTGTATTTTTTATCATGGAACTGGCATCTTCCCCAGCCTTCAGATGAATTTAGTGTTAATAAATACTGTAAGTTCATCATATGGCATATGCTAATGAAAGACAAGATTTTCAAAGATAGAAAGACTTACAATTCTAAGTTTAGCCACTTCTTTGTTAATCCTGTTAAAGTCTTTGCCCAGCTGTTCAAGCTCAAACTGACCTGTAAATCAAAAAATGAAAAGAATAAATAAACCAAATGGTTCCTGAGTTATGTAATATATAAACACAAAGATGAATCAATCAAATTCAAAATGAAGCTTACGTTGTCGCCACTCCTTGTCAAGATGAATAATTTCATCAATAATCTCTACATTTGCAAACCTGCGGCGTTGAGACTCGCGTATAATTTCTGGGTTGTTGCCCTTTTCCTCCCTAAATAGATTTATGTCCAACATGTTTTCTCCTTCTTTCTTGCTTTCTGGTATAAAGGTTGACATGGTTTAAGAGTTAAAAACATACATATTTACACCAAACCCAACCCACACATAAAATCAAACAACCAACTCATCCTCTTACAACTAAAACAAAAACAGCCTATGTAGTTTGTAGTGTGCATCTCCAATTCTCATTTGTAACTAAGATTTCATATCTAAACATGACACTTCTCTAAAAAAAATAAAATTCTGTTGGGGTATATCATATATGTAGGCTGTAGCTAATATACACAAAATAAGCAGACCAGTCACTCAAATGACCAGACAGATTGACCAACATTGTGTATGTGTATATGCATCATATGTATGCGCAACAATATGAATTAACGTATATGTACCGGATTCAGCCATAACGAAAATAAAAAATACATTACATTATTATATTAAACCATGATGGACATTTAAAAAAAAATGGTAGATAATCAAACAATCTTCTAGCATGATGCTTAGTTGCTTACTGCATCTTTCCATGGACAGAATTACCTATCTAAGAATATTTTTGTACTCCAAAGTCTAAAGTGTATCAACCAATATAAGGCCAACAAGTAAAATTAGGCACATGACATTCAACCTATATAATACTATCACTTGCATAACCAACATATAGTTCTGGAATGTTTTTGATTTGTAGATAGAGAATAGCGGTGAATATATACGCTATGTAGCCATAGCGATGAAAAAAAAATACTAAGTTTAAATTATAATCAATAAATAAGCAAACAAACCATGATACTAGCTAAAATACTTGATCATTTTAGTTTTAAGGACATGTTTTGATGCAAACTATGATCAATGGAATTAACTTCAGTTAAAACTTATAACTTAAAATGATCAATTGAGTCAATTCATACTTATACAATCAATGAAACTTATACTTGCTCAATTGAGTCAATTTTCGGTTACTTTCAATAGGGAAAATTACAAGAAAAATCTTAGGAAAAAAAATGAAAATAACATTAAATAATCAATTGGAAGTTAATATGTGTGAATGGCATACTTGCAAGTACTTCAAGAGTTCAAATGATCAATTTGATTTAATAGAAGAGTGAATCAGAGAAGCTTAGAAAAATATAATAATCATAAATATAAGAGTGAGAAATAGTGAAAGCATTTACATGAAACATGATCAATAAAACATGTATACATATTATAGAAAGATCAAGCCTGAACTACGTGTCTCATGATACCTTCCACGTGTCTCAGTTGAGGAAGTGTATAGCCGATGAGTCGGCAGTGGTACCATTGGAGGATATTCAGGTGGATGCAAGCCTGAACTACGTGGAGAGACCAGTTGCGATCGTGGATCGAAAGATCAAGGTTCTGAGGAACAAAGAGGTGCCCCTGGTGCAGGTTCAGTGGCAACATCGGAGAAGGTCCGAGCTGACTTGGGAACCGGAGCTATTGATGCGTGAGCAACATCCAGAGTTGTTTGCAGAGTAAGACTTCGAGGGCGAAGTCTGATTCTAGTGGGGGAGAATTGTAACATCCGGATTTCCAGGTATTATATTTTATCATTTATTTTGGAAGTTTAAGGAGAGACTCGACGAGTTGATGCGTAGACTCGTCGAGTAGGGTCGCGATTTGCTGACTGGGTAAATGAGGGGACTCGACGAGTCGCTAAGGTGGACTCGGCGAGTCCGCGCTGTGGATTGAAACCCTAATTCCCCGGGTCTGAGCCCTATTTAAAGGGCTTTATAGCCTCCATTTGCGGCTACCTGTACAGAGAGAGTATCCCTTTCGATCTTGAGCGTGTTGTGAGAGAATTAGAGCTCTTTTGTTCATTTTGGGTGTGATTTAGCTAAGGAGGAAGGGTTTCCATCAAGAAGGGGGCAAGAGGACTTCATTCTAGAGAGCTTTCAGCTTGAATCTTCATCTTTGAGGTATATATTCGAGTCTATTCTCGTATTTTGTTATTATAGTTGAATCTAGGGTTTCTTCATGCTTTATTTAGCTTGGATCTAGAGTAAGAGAGGTCCCATGGTGAAATGATTCATAGATCTGGACCCTAAGAGGTCCAGAGGGTCCCTTCCATTCGGCTTTATGCCTTCCCCTTGGAGTAATGAACTAGAGTTGTCATGAAATGAAGGATTTCACCCAAATGAGCATAGAGAACCTTGCATGAGTGCCCAAGATTCGACCTTTACGAGATTATGGGCTATAGGGAAGCTAGATCTATGGATTGGAGGAACAGATCTGACCTCAGAAGGTCAGATGAATGTTGTCATGGGAGCAACTCGCCGAGTCCATAAGTAGACTCGACGAGTCGAGTCGGGGTTGCCCCGCGATTCGTTGCCGAGTAACTCGACGAGTGAAGAGGGAACTCGTCGTGTCTGAGAGGTTTAAAAGGATTCAGAGAACCCGCATGGACTCGCCGAGTCACTCGTGTGAACTCGACGAGTCTGGTCAAAGTTGACCGTTGACTGGAGTTGACTTCGTTGACTTTTAGAGTTTGGTCAATGATTGGTCTTATGAGCCATTAGAAGGGTAGAATGGTCTTTTACCCTTCTTAGAGAAATTATAGAGGAGGATTAGCCTAGCCTTTAGAAGTGTATTAATTAGAGTAATTATTTATGTGATTAGGCGGAGGCTAGTGCAGTATTTCAGAGTACGAGGTCTTCCGAGTATCCGAGGTGAGTCTTCTCACTATACTTTACCTAGAGTGGTAATCAGAGTTAGGTGTCAGTGTATTTGCATGCTATTTATGTGTTGTAATTTGATGTGATTTGTGATATGCATGATTCAGAGTTTACAGAGTTAGGACCAGTGGGTCCACAGAGTTAGGGCCAGAGGGCCCATAGAGAGTTACACATTGACCAGAGGGTCAAACAGAGTTATAGCCTTGAGTGGCTAATATGTGTTAGAGTGGTATTTTGGGGAACTCACTAAGCAATCATGCTTACAGTGTTATGTGTTATGTGTTTCAGGTACTAGTGACGATCGCGGGAAGGCGCCGGCATGATTCGTACACACACGCGGAGTTTTATATGTTTTGATCTTGAGATTTTTATAATAATTATGAATGGAAACGTGTTTTGAAAATGTGAAAAATTGTTTAAATTTTTACGGTGTTACAAGTTGGTATCAGAGCCTTGGTTTGAGGGATTCAGATGCACCTTCGGGCGTATCTGAACTCAAACTGAGGATTTGAGGAAAATTTTTGATAATAAAATAATTTTCAAAGAGTAAGAGAGTTTTGAGACAAACAGAGCAGAGCCGTGTGTATGATCAGCCAGCGCCCGAACGGTGATTTCCCAAAAATACCCTTACAATAAGTGTTATGAGATATGTTATGCTATGATATATGATGAGTTATGTTATGCATGCTAGAGTAGACTAGGTATTCTTATTAGGACTAGAGTGGCCTGATTTGTGATGCCTTAGTCTAGGAGTTTTGCTGCTAGGGAATCTTGAGAGTGATTAGATAGCAGCGAGGAGTTTATGAGAGATCTGCTAGAGAATGGCCTATGATTATTGAGAGTAGAGTACTTGGGATTTGGGACTCTGGGAGGAGGACTTGGGGTGAATGCTGATGCGGTGTGGACAGTAGTATTGGGCCCGTACTACTGGAGACACCGGATCAGTGCGCAGTCCAAGTAAGAATCTTTGGGGTACCAGAGGTCAAGTAGGGTTGAGTTATCGAGTGTGAGTATACTCGAGCGAGTCCCTGATATTTCTTATGTTGTATTTCAGAGACATCATGGTTGGGATACGCCACACACTAGAGAGCAGCGGTGCTAGTGATGAGGACATCCGTAGGATCATTCATAAGGAAGTGGCTGCGGCCATCAGGGCAGAGATACCAGAGATGTTTGAGTCTATCAAGACCGCGCTGATAGAGACTTTTGACGAGCGATATGCTGCTCTTTCTGATGCTGCTGTTGCTGCGGCCACCGCAGCTGTAGCTGCGGTTAGACCGCAGGGTGGTGATGCGTTGCTGTTCCGGGAGTTCAGCAACACAAAACCACCAGAGTTTGATGGGACGCAGGATCCGATTGCGACGATGAGGTGGATTTCGGACATTGAGGGGTGTCTCTTTACGTGCTCATGTCCAGAGCATTTGAGGGTCCGGTTCGCGCTGAACCAGCTTCGCTTGGGAGCGAAGGACTGGTGGAAGTTTGTGACGGCACATTATTCGCCTGCTGAGCTTGCTGCGGTGACCTGGGAGAGGTTCACCGCTATGTTCCTAGATGAGTACGTTCCCCAGGTGGAGAGGGCGCGTTTGGCCCAGGAGTTTCTGACCCTCAAGCAGGATACCGAGTCTGTTACAGTGATTACGAGGATGTTCCATGAGAGGGCGATGTTCTGCCCAGAGCATGTGTCTTCCGAGCAGGCACGTATGAGCCGATATCTGAGTGTTTTGAGGAAGGATATACGAGAGTTCGCGGCGAACTCGTCGTACCGGACATTTGCCGAGCTTCAGGCAAATGCTCGGAAGAGGGAGATAGAGCTGGAGACTCAGACGAGGGAGGAAGCAGAGTCTCAAGGGAGGGATCGGCGACCGGCACAGTCTCAGCCGGCAGCCAAGCGGGCCAAGCCCGCCGATTCGAGATCAGGGAGCCAGAAGGGTCGCACTTGTGGCAAGTGCGGCAAGAGTCATGATGGGGTGTGCAGAGCAGGGTCTTGCTACAAATGTGGCAAGGAGGGGCATATGGCCAAGGATTGCCCCAAGGGCTTTGCAGTCTGTTTTCACTACAACCAGACCGGACACCGGAAGGCAGAGTGTCCGCAGTTGCGAGGGTCAGCACAGGGAGCATCTCCGGGATCTGCCCCTGCTGCAGTGAGAGCTACTGATAGTCGGCCAGTGAAGGCCGAGGCACCGAAGGCACGGGGGAGAGCCTTCCAGTTGACCGCGGAGGAGGTCCGCGCAGCGCCCGATGTTGTGGCTGGTATGTATTCTTTCATGTATTATTTTGATGTTGAGATATTGTGCTTATATTATGTTATGCGTAGGTACTTTTCTTGTGAATTCTGTACCTGCCTTGGTGTTATTTGACTCGGGTGCG